GACCAAATTCTGCTTCCAAGCATAATCCATTGTCATTTTTATCAGGTCAGCATGATAGTAAAGCAGCTACCTTGTGCTGGCATTCACAGCCATTCAAACTCTCTGATGTTTTCATTTTTACTCTAGACTCACCATCTCATATAATCAATATCTTTTTCAAAAGTTATTTGGTTTATTGAAGCAGCAGCCTGATGGTTAATGCTCTCTATTGAAATCATACATTTTAAAAAATATATTGCTATGGTTAATCTGTCTCACTCTGCATAATGGCTTTCCATCACTCTTCTAAAGATGCTACTTAGAACCCTGCTTTTTTTCCCCCCTATTAAACAATTTCTATTCCTATTTCTATTCCTATGCCAAAGTAAGTTATAGCTTCAGATTTTTTTAGTAATTTTTTCCAAAACGATCAGAACAAGAAATCTATCTAAATGTACACCCAGTCTCTCTAGCAGCAGGGAATATAATAGGATAAAGACTGTGCTCCAAATATGCCATCAAATTTGGTCTTTCTTTGGGTTCATAACAATAGTAGATTATATTTAGCTTGAGTATTTTTGACTGCTCTTGGAAACTTAGCTCATTCAGTATTTTCTTAATGAAAAACGTGCTCCCTTTTTTACTGTGTTAAAAATGAAAAATTATGGGTTTGTGTATGTCGAACAATCTTTCTGATGGATTGAAAAATATTAACCAAATAAATGTATTCATTTTGGTGCCTTCGAGTCAATCTTGATTCCTGGCAACTGCCTGGACAAGTCCCTGCAGTTTTCTTGGCAAGGTTTTTCAGAAGTGATTTGCCATTGCCTTCTTACCAGGGCTGAGAGAAAGTGACTGGCTCAAGGTCACCCAACTGGCTTTATGTCTAAGGCGGAACTAGAACTTATGGTCTCCCGGTTTCTAACCTGATGCCATAACCACTACACCAAACGGGCTCTCAAATTTACCATTAAATATACCAAATTTGCCAGAAATTTACTATGAAAAAACCCCTGTAGTATATGTTAAAACAGCAAAAAAAATCTTCACTTTTAAAATATTTTAGTACTGTACATCTTTCAAAGCCAATGGAACAATAACAAAAGTGTTACTATAGTTAAACATTCTCATAATTTAATTGGGAGTTGCAATATAACAATGATTTTAATGCATTTTGTAAATAATTCTTTGTAAGCCATTCTTTTTTACATCTTTTTGCATAGCTGGGGTGCCTGAGAAATACCCAGGTTGTATAAAATGATTTCCTAACTGTTTTCTGAATAGATTTCAACATACTTATTAAAAGAAAACAAATGTTGAATTATATAACTTAGATCACTGATATTTTATACTTAGAAAGAAGCCTGCTTTCTCTTTGCTTAAATAAATGGGAGGCTTACAAATTTAGACAAATAATACAGTGGTCTTTGCTAAATAAATGCTCATAGGACAACCAATTTGTACAAAGAAATGAATAATATTTTGCAGTAGAATTTTCCAAAATCTACCAAATACAGTTAATAGTAACCTAAAAATCTAAGAATGGGAAGATGTGATATAATGTGGCATATGCTGTTTAACAGGCCCATTTCCAGCTGTTAAACTCCAAAACCAAGTTTCCTATACCAAAGCACTTCTGCCACAGCCTGTAGAATAGTCCAAACCAAGGAGGAAGCAATTGGGAGGGATGGTGGGAACATCTGGAATTTTAAAAACTTGTCATGCTATGGCAGATGGAGTCAGTGATAAAACATTCATTGCACACAAAGCAATCTGTGAAGGTTGTTCCCACTACCCATCCCACCACCCAGTCTAGCCCCCAGAATGCCCTTCATTTTTCTGAGCTTGTATGTGATTTTTTTTTCTTATTCTTTTTGGGAAAAACAAATGTCTGTTCTTCCCAAAAATCACTGGGCTATGGCCATTCACTATTTCTATATTCTCAAAAGAGTGTATGTAGGGCCCAGAAACATTCTAGATAATATTGAAGGTTGATGCTTTGATTTGCAATATGCCAGTTTCCACACATTTAGGTTTATTTAAAAGAATTAAAAAATAGAATAGGCCGGAGACCATGGAGCTTGGCTATTGTGAAATGAGGTAGCATAGTTACCCTGGTGCCAACTGGCACAATATGCCTATTTTAGAGTCTAATTTATGATGACACACCACAGAGACATACATGCATGGTTAGTATTGAATGTATTAATATTAATGCTAAATGCTTCCTTGTAGCAAAATCCTCTGAAACCTCTGAAAATGCACAGTACATAAAAAGAGAACTACCAGATTTCAAGAATATTTATTAGCAGCTAATGCTCTTGAGATTTTCTGCAAAACGCATGATTTGGTGCCACACACAGCAATACTGATCTTACCTCTGCTTCCTCAAAGATTTGTACAGTAGAAGTTCTGGCTGCTTTCTCCCTTTTCCTCTTCCTACAAGGAGACTCAGAGCACACCTTTCCTCTGCATTCCTAACTTCCTGAACAATTAAATTACCCCACAGAAGAACAAAAAGGCCTGTAGCTTTCTAACAAAAAAACCTCCTGTGCTTTCTTCCTGTAATATGCAATCTGATTTTAGGAACTGATTGCCTGTTCTTGGTTCTTTTCAACTTCCTGCTTCTAGAGACTGGGTGGGAATTCAGATATAATTCTTGTTTCTGACTGTTCTGAAGCAAGCCAAGTTTATGGAACATGAAGTCAGAAAGTCTGTGCAACCAATGAAAAGTTTGAGTCCCCAATGATAGCAAAGATAAATCTAAACATTGCCTTCTTTATGTACCATCAGGAAAAGGCTTTCAGTAAATAAAGTCACAGAACTATTGCCAAGTACATTCCCTATAATATACAGAGTTTGGCTAAAGCTTTCAATAAACACTGGCACTCTAAATCATCTCTGGCATATTAGAAGTATGTAAGCAAGCAAGGTCAATGAGCTAGATCCATAACTCATAGAAATGCAGTCCAGCACATTCCCCTTGCTACACAGTGCCCGTGTAAGGCTTTCCAGAGTAAAGACTTGTGGAAAAAGGACTAAATGCATAGGTTGCAACTGGCCAAAGTAATATGAACAGCATCCGGTTGATTCCACATGCTGCACTGCCCTTGAATAAAACTGCTGATACGTCTCTTCCAAATGTGGGTAAATATTAAAAACTGTAACAATTGCATACTTCGAATAGCTCTGACCAGATGCTATTTGGAATAAGGCATGTATAATCATGAAACATCTTGAAAGTAGAGAATATAGATGCCAAAAGATTTTTCTGGCACCATGTTTGCATCATCCTATTGTACAAAGACCAGTGAAAACTGAACCCAAAATTTTGAACAGAACTGGCAACTAGACTGCTAAATTCATACAAAATCCAAAGGTTTTCAACTGATTCACTCATCTTAACAAACTAATATAATTATTTAAGGTGCGATCACTGTTTCTATACCCTTAACAAATATATTTCTTTTTCACGTTTTTATATTCAATTATTATGCTCCCATCATAGAGATTACCTCATTTTGTATTATTGGGGAAATACATACATTGCATTGGCATAGACACTATTAATTATAGTTTTTAATTTTGGATCTTGCTCTGTTGCATAATGGGGAAGGGCAATGAATCACCATTAATTTCTTCTGGAAGTCAGAAACCACAACCAACAGAACCACATAAAAGCAATTCATATATAACTAGAAATGTAATGCATTCCACTATTCTAGTGGCATAAAGGCTTTTTTTCCCCTTGAACTTGCTCAAATTAAAAAGATGTGGATCTGTTTCCTCACTTAATGACTTTTATTCCTGGACATACATAATGAATAATGTTGAATGTCAGTGAGCCATACATAGAAAATCCTCCTTTACTTTCAAAGATTAGTTTTCCAGTTTAAAACAACTAATGCATAAAATGTGTATCATACCACACTTTGTGCCTACTGCTGTTAGAACATGACTCTCAGTGGAGATGATGGTTATCCAATTACTTTGAAATCATTTTCCTAGGAATATGCTCCTTGGAATGACTATCTACCAACTTCCATATGGGCCTTAGGCAGTACTGTGCCCTCATCATTAAGGAAGTGTGCTTTATTATTAAACTATCCCAATTCCACAAGCAGGGCAAACGCTCATTTAACTCCACACCCATCCACCACTTCTCACTGAATCCTATACTTACGCATATTGCCCATCAAAGCACATAAGTCAATGGTCCAATTAATGAGAATGTGCGGGGGAAGGGGGAGGCTCAAAATACTGAAATAATTCTGTGTTAGATTTTAAAAGACTGCTTTTGTTGTACTGAGCCTCTCCCTGTCTGGGCCAACCACTCGTTTAAAAAGACCCTCTGCACCTCATATGGGAAACAAAGAAGTCCACGCGTCTTAAAAGCTGCCAAGGTTGAGAAACACTGCTGTATTGCAAAGAAGCGAGCACAGAAAAATGGGGCAGTTGAATAAACCAGTCTTAAGGTGACCCGAGTAACCGCGCTGTGCGATTAAAACCGATTCATTTGCTCGTCTTTACGCCCCCAAAGCCTCTCCCTGGTTTCAAACCAAACGCTGCAGAGACCAATGAAGCACAAGACGCAGGAAGTCCACCCTACGGCACCCGCTTCGGCGCCATCTGGCCGGGAGGCCACCAGTATCCACGCCTCCCACAGACACCCCACAGCCCCGGCCCCGCTCTCCCTAACGGAATCCGGCCTTAATCACGTCAGCGGAAGAAGGGGAGCCCTTCCCTGCCGCAGCTCTCGCGGGCGGAGCGCAGCAGCCGAGCGCGCCGGCAGCCAACCAGCCCGCGCCTTGTGTCCCGCCACTCCCCTCCAGGACTCTTGTCACGTGTACGCGCCGCCCGTCTGAGCTTGCCGGGGCTTGGCCTGCTCCTCCTCCTCCCCCCCCGCCCTGCGTGGCGCTTCCCTTCCCGGGTCATGGCTTCTCTCAACGCCGGCCGCTCAATGAGGGGCTGAGAGGAGCCGCGTCGGAGCGCGCAGAAGCTCTCC